AGGAGAATAATAGTAGACGAGTAGAAGGATAAAGCTACGAAAGAAGCGAGTAAAGCCTCCTCCTCCTCCTATACTAATACGTTTAATTAGACGATAAAATAGAGACTTAAACCTCTCCTATACGAGAGAGAGATATAGTCTACTCTTTACTAGTTAAAAATAGGATATAGATACTTTAAGTCCTATCTATATAGATTTTCTTACTCCGAGACAGATCTCTATATATATAGACCTACTAAATAAACTCCTAGATATCTCCTCCTAAGGTATCCTCTCTATAATTCTCCCCGGAGAATTCTTAAGGACTCTTTTAGAATAAATAACCCTAGTTTTCAAGAGGTACTTACCGGACCGGGAATCCTAGCTACGCTAGAATTCCTTAAATAAACGAGGATAGCTATATAGAAATAGCGCCTTAACGACCTTCCCGAGAGGGAGTAAAATACCTATAATTCTAATCTACTCCTTACTATTTTATCTTCTCTAAAAACCCTTTTCTTTCCTTCGTTTTTATTACCTCGGCCTAGATCTAACTATCCCTCGTACTACCTCGCTTTTATCTTATATTTAAACCCCCTAGCTAGTTCTAAACGGACTATCCGTTATAGTTTCTAACTATATATAGACGTAAAACGAATTAATTAATTAATCAATCGCTACTCTAGGAAAATCGGTAAAAAAATATATTAAGAAACCGGACTCTAGAGAAACTACCTCTCTAGCCTCCTAGGCGGTAAACCAATAGATAAAAACTAGCCTTATATAGAAAAGAGGAAATAGATAATTTTAGCCGCTTAACTTAAAAGGATACTTAAATTCGCTTAATAAATAAAAAGGTTCTAAAATAGAGACGACCTTATCTAGTAAAACCTGTCTTATTCCTATTCTTCTACCTTTCCTTTATTTTATCTCCGTTCCCCTTCTCCTTATACTCTCTTAGATTAAAATACTAATATAAATTTCTAGCGTATTTCCTTTAAATAGTCTATAGCCTATATATCGCTTAGGGCGATGGGTTAGGGTAAATAAATACAACTTAACTTAACTCAACTCAATTAATCTTCTTATAATATGTCTACGGGAGGCCGTTGAGGTTACTATATAGACTTTACTATAGGGGCTAAAACGCGTGTCGCAAAATCGCGGGCTGCGATGCCTAAGAGCCGCCACCGCGACGAACGGCGTATAGAGTATATAAACGAGGGGGAAGCATCCTTCTGTGGAGCGGCGTCTTGCGTGCGAAACTGGAGTCTAGACTGCGGAGATGGTTTCCAGTTTCTTTGATTATGATGCGTGGGATGTGGGGCGGGCTCGCCGTTAGATACGTAGCCGAGCCGCGAGGGGCCGTGGGGTCCGCTAATTTGGGGGCGCAAACGTACCGCAGTACATAATATTTCGCTGAAAATATTATGTCTACCGACCTGCGCCGCAGCGCCCCCACGGTCGCCTCACTCTCACCGAACGGCTTCCCCGAGGTTTCGTTGATTTTGGGGGCGTATAGGGAGACAACTGTTCATCCATCCCCTTTGTGACTCTTTGACCCTTCGTAGCCGAACTTGCGCACCTACAGTATCACGTTGTATATTGTATAACGGTAGTATTCTCACATCAAACACATTTCCCTTTCACGGCAATGCTGTGGGCCCGCGGAACAATTTTAGCATCCTTTGGAATCTGCAAGGATGTAACAGGGAAGCTGCGACGATGAATGCGGTCGCAACGGCTAAAATATAAGCCAAGCATGCCAAATGTATATTGGCTTAGAGTACCAGTGTCTCATCCAATCCGTTTGCTCTCTGTCTTTGTCATTCTGCCTTGTTAATTCTTGCAAAATTTAACCATGGGGATCGACGAGGATTTAAGTCCTCTTTGCTGGGGAGTGACTGTGCCGTTCGTCTTGCTCACAGTGGCGTCCTTCCTATTGCGTGTCTACTCGCGTGCATTTATTGTCAGATGCTTTGGAATGGATGACTGGCTTGCCACTATCGCATTCGTGAGTTGGCCGTTTCAACATACAAACGCACCACTGACCAATAACTTCTCAGACTGTCTGGATAGGCCAATGTTATATATGTTGGTCGTGGCTAGTAATGGGTGGTGGCAAGTAAGTAATCAGAGCCATGGTGAAGTAATAGCGCAATTCTAACATTCCGTAGGCATACCAGTTCAGTTTCCACCGCAGTTATTGCGGAGATGAAACTGGTGAGTTCATAGAAGTAACATTGTTTGTGGCTTCGCTGACCAGCTTAAAGTATCTTTTTGTCGAAGAGTTCTATTACTTTGCGTTGCAACTCTTCATTAAGCTGTCTTTCCTATTCTTCTTCCGCAGGATTTGGACATCTCGCACAGTTGGCCGCCTCATCATCGGTGTCATGGTACTTGTCTGCTTCCAGATTACCGGAACATTCATATTCTATGCATTGCAATGCATTCCGATACAAGCGTATTTCCATCCCGAGAGATATCCAAATGCGAAATGCCTCTCTTCATTGGCAACGCTTATCTTTCCAAGCACTGCAGTAAGCACTTCTGCGCAATGGGCCAGTTGGCTTCCACTGACTTGAAAAGAATGTCGCCGTCGATGTGATCATCTACATCTTGCCCATCTGGCCTTTGTGGAATCTCCACGCATCACGGAAGCGCCGTATTGCTCTCATGTCCATGTTTACCTTCGGTGGTGGGGCAGTCCTCGTATCCGGCCTTCGATTCCTTGTTCTCTTCGAGTTCTCAGCAGACCCAGACTTCGCATACGTCCTTGGAAAAATCGTCATTGTAACGATGATCGAGTTCTGCACAGCGCTTTTCACTCTCAACATGCCTTCATTCAAAGCAGTCTGGAGTAAGCATGTCACTGGGACATTCCTTGACAACGGAGAGAGCATGCCGCCGCAGCATGAGCTCTCCGACGTCTCACACAAGCTCCGTAGCAAGGAGAGGAGATCATCGCAGTGGCAGCAGACGGGGTCGCCATTGTCGCCAACGCCCCATGAGGGGAACGATCTCGAGCGAGGACCTGCCGACCGAATGATCTGGTCAAATGCATCTGAAGACGACCTTTTGGATGACGCTGAGGGAGGAAAGAATCGTATCAAGGTTACGTCAGACTTGGAAGTTGATGTAAGGCAGGCGCAGTGGGAACAAGATGGTTCTACATGTTATCCACCAAATTACTTTCGCTTTAAAAGGGATGACGAGGCTTAAATAATAAAACTAAAATAATAGACTTAGCGAGAATATTTTTTTTAGAAAGCCCCTAGATTCAAAACTACCAATAGTTAATAGTAAGCGGCTTTAAAGTACCGGCGACTAAAAGCCTATCTTTACTAAAAAAGAGTAAATAGTGTTTATACTAAAGATTTATTAGGGTTATATAAAATATCATTTCTAGCCTATACAAGATATTAGCGGGTAGATCAGTATATTAACGTGCTAAATATATTTTATCCAAGAGATTCTCGCTTTCGCTCAGAATTAATTCTATAAAGAAAGAAGAAAGCCTGTATATATACTTATAATTATTTTTTGAGTTATCTAGAATAAACTATTTAATCCACTAAGAGCGACAAGGCTCCCCACTTACTACCTCCGGCGAAATACTATAACTCTAGTTACAAATTGCTTATCAGCGTCGCCGGCGTAAGGTCTAAAATAAGGAATTGAAAATAAGGTGACGTTTTGCACGTGGTAAGCACGTGTGTTGATAGATCGGCACGTGCGGGAAGGTCAAGTACGTCACGTGTACGAACTAAAGTACCTAGCTTCCTGGACAGGGAATCAATGAGCTGTTGCGACATAGGTACTTTCAGAATGTTTAATTGTTATAATTATTCTGGACTATCTCTCTATTTTATTGGGAATTTAAAGCCTGACAGTCGTTCGAAGACCTCCGAATGCAGGTACAGAATGGACCAACCCCTCCCAACTCACCCACGAACGACACCAAGCCCAGCGTAGCACAGAATCATCAGTTGGGCCAGCAATGGCGCCAGTCGTGGGCTGATGTACAACCAGTCAGGAGTGCGATGCCGGGGCGCTCACGCCGTCAACGTACGATCAGGCCGAAGATGCCGACGCGAGATGCCGAGTCTATAAAAGCGGCAGGCCGACCACGACGACCACGACGTACTCATTTGCCCATCCGCCCGCCAAAAAGCGAGAAAGCCAGCCGTCACGTTCTGCGCGCATCTCCAAACTCTTTCTTCGCGACAAAGCTTTCGGACCCGCTCTAACCCGCGCAATGGCTTCCCCGTCCCCGTGCCCTGCCGACGACCCCATGGCCGATCGGCTGCTGTGCGCGGCATCGCACCTGCTGGGCGACAAGAAGGAGTATTTAGGGCCGCTGCTGGAGCAGGCCAACGTGCTTGTCTGGATCACCGTTTGCACGATCTTGGTGCACTGGATCGTCAAGAAGGTCACGCCACCAGAGAACGACGCCGAGAGCTGGAATGGATTCGTCGAGTCCACCTACGGCGACGAGCGCGACAAGGAGGGCAAGACTTAATGCTAAAGCTTTCGTTGATGAGCCTGGACGACATTCGTGGATTGGTGGTAGAAGTTTGGGCAATCCTGTACGCTGCTGCATCACCGCTGTCTTTTGGCCGAAGAGAAACATCACCGCTGACTTGATGCACGTGTGTAGACCGCATTTGCGCTGGGTGCCTTTGCAACTACCATCACCACTCTCTCCTGTACTTTGATGGAATGGCGCGGACTTACGACGGCAAACGCTTTCATTGGCAATTTCTTCTTCATCGCAGGCATCGGCATGGTTCTCTCCGCGCAATGGGAGCTGGTGCGCGGGAATTCTTACAACTATACTGTTTTTAGTGCTTACGGTAACTCTCCATGATGAACCCCCTTGGAAAGTCTTGCTGATATCGAATTTTAGGCATGTTTTACGGCGGGTTTGGCGCCATTCTGACGCCATTGTTTGGAGTTTCTTATACCTTTGGAGACGACACGATTGGATACAACAATGCGCTTGGCTTCTTTTGTATATGTATGTCTATAATAACAAAGCATTCAATTGTGGTTGCTAACGGACGAACAGTATGGACCGTGTTTAATACCTTTTTCCTACTTGGGTCTCTCACCACGTACGTATTCGAGCGCGTAACTCTAAACAAACGACTAACAAACGCCACAGGAACATTGTGACAATCGCCACTTACACGGCTCTGGAGATCTACCTCTGTCTTCTGGGCGCCAGTTACTTTGTAGCCGCCGACGGCGCGGCAGACACGGCCGTCACGGTCAAAAAAGCTGCCGGAGCATTCGCATTTATTGCGGGAATGTTGGGGTATTACAGCATGGGAAATGCTATCTGCGAAGATCAATGTCTGCCTTCGTATCTATTCCCGATGGGTGATGTTAGCTTCATCGGGTAGGTTAATGTTGCTCAAGAGTTCATACGCCGCACCTCCAACGTTCGAGACGGGCTTCCTGCTCTCCTCTCCAAAAAATAATTTATTGTTTAAAAATACAAATCTGCAACGCTCGGCAAACCGATAGATTGGCGGATTTCAACAGTCCTCTTCACATCAATCGGAGCGTATAAGGCTCTCTCTTTACCATCCAAATAACCAACAGTTCTATAAGAATGGGTATCAAGCCAAACATTCACATCTCTGCAAGCAACGCTTCACTGGCCAAATTGCAAAGCAGAACGTCACCATGATAATCATCACATCATTACTCGTAAAGCTAATCTAAACCTTCTCCAGGGTATCCACCTCCAACGCAGCAGTAACCTTACCCGTCGTCTTCTTCGTGTTATACTGCTCAGCCTTAAGCCGCGCAAAATTCCGCTCCGCATCCCACACCCAGGGCGTATCTGCCGCAAACAGCAGATCCATCTCCTCGAGCGTGCGCTGGTTGCTCTCGGGGTACAGAGCCCACACCATGGGGATTACGGCAACGTTGCACGCCCCGAAGATGTACAGAGTCTTCTCGCTGATGGACCCGAACATAATGGGGCACAGCAGCGTCAGCCAGCCGTTCCCGATGCTCCAACCCACGACGCCCCATGCGTTTCCTTTGGCGCGGACCTCGAGCGGGAAGATCTCTGCCGGAATCAGCCATGGCACGGTGAGCCAGGTGGCGCCGAAGATGGACGTAAAGATGAAGACGAACGACGCGGCCGCGGCGCCGTAACTGCTTGCGGCGCTGGCGTCGCCCGCCTCTCGCGCGTTCAGCGCCGCCCGCGACATTCCTCCCGCCAGGAACATGGCGATGCCCTGCCCTACGGCGCCCCAGTACAGCGTCCAGCGGCGGCCGATGCGGTCGAGCGTGAAGACGCAGACGAGGGTCGAGAACATGTAGAAGATGTTGTTGAGGCCGGAGATCCACTGGCTCTTTGCGCTGTCAAACCCCGCAATGGAGAAGATGGTGGGCGCAAAGACCGTCACGCCCGCAATGCCCACCCACTCCTGCATGATCTGCAGCCAGATGACCAGCTGGACCCGCCGCCCCGTGTGCAGCTTCCCGGAGCCGATGCCGAAGAACATGTGGAAGTACGAGTTGCGCTTCTGCGTCGTCTGCTCCATCTCGACTATGGCCTGGATGTCGCGGAACTCGGCGTCAGCCCGCGCCGCGTCTTCTGCACTGTTGCTGCCCCGTAATCGGCTCAGGATGTAGCGCGCCTCGCCGTCGCGACCTTGGCGGACGAGCCAGCGTGGCGATTCGGGGAAGAACCAGACGACGGCGAAGAGTAGGAAGAGCGGGATTATTTGGAAGGCGATGGGGAAGCGCCAGCGGAAGGCGGACTCGCCGTTGTCGATGTAGGAGAGGCCGCTGGTGGGGTGTTAGCATGTCTGGAGATCGGGCGTTATGTGTTGATGGCTTACAATTCGAGCCAGTAGGCGACGACGACGCCGAAGATGTTCAGGGTGAATTCAATGGCGATGAACTGCCCGCGCGACGTGTGCTCTGCGGTTTCGGTGGCCCAGACGGGCACGATCGCATTCAAAATGCCGGTGCCAATGCCGTTGACGGCGCGAGCTGTCCATGTTGTCAGAGATGCACCTTGCAACAGAGCGGAGGCACTCACCACAGATCATCCACGAAGCATTCTGCGCCGAGCACTGCAGCGCAGCGCCCAAGACAGCCCATGCCGCACCCACAGCAATTGTCCTGATACGCCCCAGCTTGTCGCCGACCCAGCCGCCCAGCAGCGCACCAAACAGCGTTCCAAGGTAGTACACCGAGACAATGCCGCCCTGCAGCAGGCTGTCGGTGACGACCGTCTCGCGCGTCTCCGGGACGACATACCCAAAGCCCATCAGATCGACGTAGTCTTTGGCGTTGTTGACGCCGCTCATCATGCCCTGGTCGTAGCCGAAGAAGAAGATGGACAGCGCTGCCACGCAGTTGATGGCGCCGAGCAGGCTGCCCTTTTCGAGCTTGTGCGCGACATTCCAGCTTGAGTGTGTGTCCATGGCGGTGGAGAGGCTGACGATGCGGACCGTTGATCTGGGGAAGCCCCAAGAGTTGTGTGGACCGCTCGTTCATGTACGCGTCGCTTCATGACGGCGGCCGGCAAAAGTCTGTGTAAGCCGCGTGCTACTGACGTTCATCGTCCCCGTGGGGCACGTTACATGGAATGGAGACCCCCCCGGTGCGGGGTCTAGCGTGAAATAATGCCGCCACCGCTTGCTGTGGAGATATCTCGGCCTTCCCTCCGCGCGGGGGAAGGTGAGAGGGAACTGTAGAATGTCGTACAACTATCAACAATCAACACCAGAGTAGGTAGAAGTTACTTCGAAGTGACCCTCACTGCAATCACAGTCACAAGAGTATGCAAACAAACCACTTACCAACTTCCCCCAAAGCCATTGAGCCCCATTCCAGCCTCAAACCCCCCGCAACCCCATCGCGATACAAACAGCGAGGGACAAAAATTTTCTGGCGTCGCATGTGCAGTTGCAGGTGCATGGTGGCGTGACGGGTCACGGCGGCGCCGAGAGATGGCTTGCAGGCATCGTGCAGCCGCCTTGCTTTCAGCCATCAGCCATCATCCTCGCCGCTAAGCCGCTAGTTCCCGCGCAAACCCCTCCTCTTACTTTGACTTCAATTGAGCTGACACTTGAGACTGGACGTAGCGGAGATTTGTGGAGTCGCAAGGACGTCTATTCGGTCTTGAACGGCTTTGCTTGTAGAGGCGATACCCGTTTGGATTTCCTTCTTCTTTTCCCCAGAATAATTCTCCGATAATGCCCTCTCGGGGAAAACAAGCATGCTCGTCTACCTACCGACCGCAATGCCGTCCCGCAAGTTCTTCAGCATATGCGCCAGGAGGCTATCGTATAACCCGCCGATCAGGGTCAGCCAACTGCTCACATGGCGAGAAACTGCCGGGTTGCTGCTTGTTGACTTTGTCTCTGCCACGCCCGGATTACCGGAATAGGCAACCCATCCGCCCTCGCGCGAGAGACTTGCGGACACGCCCGCCGGCTAAAATGGCTAAAACCAAACCACGCGTGTAAGGGATTGTTGCTCCGCGCGATGGAACGTCAAAGAAAAGTTGCTTATCGTAAGTGAATGCGTTGCCGTTCCAGACGACTCTTTTTTCTCTCCTTTCTTTTTTTTAAAAAAAGAAGACATAACACAAAAGTCAAAACACAAACATACCTTAAATGCCTGTCTTCTATGTCTCCTTCTCTTGTCCACGCCGGATGCGAAATGAAGAAATACACAGGCCGTTTGCCATCAAGACAAACAAGTCCGTCGGGAAGACTGATTACACTCTACCGATATGTATTTAGCATGTCTAGATTTTGGATCTGGGGTGAGCTTAAAGCTATCAATTCTTTCGGAGACAACCGTGTCGAGAGAGAAAAAACCGTAAAACTAACCAGCAGCCGGGTACAGCACCAGCACCCACTGAGCACAAGTCTCACAGAAACTCTCTAATATCTACTCTCTTTTTCTCTCTTTCTCTTGGGTTTCTTAACCTACAAGAAATAAAACTACAATATAGATATATAATTAACTACATAGGTAGTACCGCCACAAGTACTGACACAAAGCAACAACAACGTTGGTCTACGCAGCATGTCCCTGCGGCAATAAACCACACTCGACGCATTCTCCTGCTCTATATCCCGGCGCTTCCAAAACCCAGAGCCGCAGAGCCGATCAGAGAAGAATATCCGCACACGACGAATGTAGCACAGGCAGACAAGCCATCGCACCGCCACAACTCCCTCTCTTTCCTCCCACATCCCACCATCCCACGCAGCAGCCGCGCGGTACCCGAACCGTGCACTCCCACTCCCCTGCACGCACGCACGCAACCATCGCCAGCTTACGCAGAACCGAGAGAGAGACCCGCTGCACGCCTTCCCACCACGTACATGACATAGGCGCAGCGAAGATTAAACTTTGTTTAAACGTTAATTGATTGCAGACAGGGACTCAAACGGCAGAGTTTATTTAATCCATTCCGATGCATCTTGTGCGTTCCCCGCTGTGATCTCGCGCATCGCGCATATCAGTTATAACCAAATGCCCACCTCACTTCACTCATTCCGAGCAATCACTTTGCAGTAGTAGTCATGGTGGCGGTAGCAAAAATCTTCAGTTCACACAGCAGGGAAAACAAAAGTTCTCAAAACACACACGAAGCCAGGCCTCATGTCCCTATATTTTGGTTTTTTTGCGGCTTTAGATACAAGAAAGGAATGCTAGGTACAGAAGCGAAAAGAAGATGAAGACGAAGCAAAAGGTGCAGTCGCCCAGAGAAGTGTCCACCACCACAACAGCGCCATGGCGGCTGAAATCCCTTCAGCGGCGCGCAGGCCCATTGCCACGAGGCGTCTAGCACTCGGGGAGGGGGTCGGTGTAGATGCAGGCGTCGGAGGGGCCGGAGCTGACCTCCTCGGGCTCCTTGTCGTTGTCGTTTGTGCCCTCGTACTCGACGCAGATCTCCTTGACGGAGGTAGCGCAGGTGTCGGAGAGGGTGGCAGTGTCGCCGTAGTTGGAGTTGATGCCGACGAGCGACTTGCCGTTCGTGGCCTTGACGTTCTTGATGGTGACGGTGCGCGCGTCGCCGTTCTGGTCGCAGTTGCCGCAGCTGCGGTACAGCTTGCCGAACTCGGTGACGGTGAAGCCGTCGATGGTGACAGAGCCGGCACCGTTGTGCTGGATGACCTTGTCGTCGGCGCCAGTGGCACCGCCGCCAGTGATGGTCGCGTCACCGTCACCCTTGAGCGAGAGAGCGTCCTCGCAGACGGCCTCCCACCAGACGTTCTCGATGGTGCAGCTGCCCTCGCAGTGGACACCCTCGATCTGGTCGGAGCCGATGATGGCGTTCTTCAGGGTGGCACCATCCTTGAGGATGAAGACGGCGTCAGAGTCGCCACCCTCGTCCTGGCCAGTGCAGCTGACGCCACGGCCGAAGGTCTTGTACTCGCCGTCGAACTCGCCGTCAATCTCCTTGGCTGTGCCCGAGTTAGTTTGTGTCTAAGATTGTTTGTTTGTTTGTTGCTTGCTGCCACTACTTACCCTCATCGAAGGTCTCGTTGCCGGTGGAGTCCGGGATGGGGAAGTCCGCACGGCGGACGAGGTTCTTGCCAAAGGTGGCGGTGCGGGGCTTGCTGGTGGCAGCCGCGGCGATGCTGGAAGCAGCGAGAAGGGGAACGAAAACCTTGGCGAACATGTTGATGGTTGTTATGGTGGAAAGAATGATCACAGATCGATTCGAATTGTTAAAGAGAGTTAAAAAAGTGTGAAGTTGGGTAGTGAATGAGCGGCCGGCGTGTGTTGATGGTTCTCATTCTTGCTGCAGCGCCCACCGTCTTTATACAGCTCTCGCCGGCGGTTGCATGACTTTGCGGTCCGGATTCCAGACAAGTCCGCATACTCCTGTGCAATAGAGGCTTCAATCTACGGCCCTTGGCATTGCGGAGAAGATTTCGAAACGTCGTGGTGAGGCCGTTGGCACGGATACCATGGGAAAGAGCAAGGGACTCTGTTTCTCGCTCTCTGAATCCTGCCAAGGCAGTCAGGGAGAGGCGGTAGATGGCGGTAGATGGTGGACGTGGTGGTGCTGAGGCGGCACGGATGGGGAATGGATCGGCGATGAACCCCAGTCGGGTGTGACAGCACAGACCGGGAACGTCATCCAAACTTCCTTATCGGTGGCTGTAATATAGCACGGGGGGACGATCGGTGCCTGAGCGGGAGAGTTTGAGACGGAGTGTTTGGTGGGAAATCCGCATGAAACGCCAAGAGGTGGAAAAAGCCAAGTCCGCCAAGGTTTCTTGGCACGCATCGGCTGGCATCAAGGTGAAACGTGCCGTGCAAGGCCGCGCGGCTCGGTATACCGACCAGTGACCACACTCTACCACCTCTCCGACCTCCAAATGCCGCAAGCAATCGCTGACGACGATCACGGCGGAACGCCCTGCCAAGCTGCCCCAGGAGGTGGCGGAGCATTACCATCCTCGTAGCTTGGCGGCCCCCGATCTCACCGCTACCCAGCACCGTCGCGAACATCTTCGCCCCTTCCAGCACCATCCTCGCTTCTCTCTATCCCATGCGACGGAGATTGGGGTGCAGGTTCCCGCCGGAACCCGCCAGCGAGCCCATCGAATGTTCCGCCAGTAGCTACCGCTCCACTCGCGCGGTCCGCCTCGAATCTTGATGCAACCCGCATGCCACGCTGGCCACCATCATCCACGGGACATGCGGGAATTGCTCATCCCTCCCCCCTTCATGCCTTCATGCTGAAGAAGTCGTGAATGGGCTCATAGCGCGTCCGTGAAGAGACGCCGACAGACCTGTTTCGGGGGTCGAGAACATTCGCGCAGGAAACTGACCGACGTGCCGACGGAATGGCCAGCTGATCTTGCCCGCCCCGAGACAACGTGGAACTCTCATCACCTTTCCCGTCAGGCGTCAGCGGCGGCACAGCAAGGGACCCCCCTTCCCGCCGTGGGGCCATCACCACCGTTGGCAGCCGGAATGCGTCGAGCCCGTCGGACTTGTAGCTACCCTTCGGCCGCCGGGTTTTTTGTTCAGGAGGCGGCAAAAAAAAGCAAGCAAGAAGGGGAGGGGATGCGGGAGGTTGCCTGACTGACTGACTGATTGACTGTCTGTCTTTCGCCCCCTCCCGTCAACTTCTGTGGGAATCACAGAGCAAACAGTTCAGCGCCGTTGCTCACTGAGTCACAAAGCCTGACACTGCGAGGGCGGGAGTGCTAAACATGGTCGCTGTTCGGCAGGTCAGTTGGTTGCCTTGCTCGCAGCTTCAGGCAAAAGATCTGAATTGACGGTGACGGTGGTCGGGGGTTGCCTCCCTCTCCGTCGAGGCAACAGGCAAAAGATCTGAATTGACGGTGGCCGATGTGTTTGCTTGCGCAATCCGCCAGAACGAGGTTCATCGCTGGACGGGTGCCGATTACTGGGCTGCCACACTGCTGGATCTCTATCTTGGATCGTGGAGAGGAGTGCATTCAGTATGGCAGAGTGCCGTATTCTCTCTCTCGTCAATGAGCAGGGAGTCCTGCTCTCTGGCATCATGGCATTCATGCATGCGAGTCACGGAAAAGGAGACACGCCCTCATCAATCATGCCATCTTGCCACACCAACACTGGACCCAAACCATCATGATGATGGCAGTGGCAATAAAGACAATGTTGCCAGTGGCGGTGATCCAATATCGAGTGATCGATAGAGTGTCTGGGTGTGTGCACATCGAGCCATCGCGTCGTCAATCCGACAATCAGTGGCTTCGCAGCCCCAGGGTGTTTGTGGCAGGACCAACACTGGCAGCGCGCCGTATTGTACCCAAGAGTGCAAAGATCGGCGCGCAGAAGGGGAAGGTATCATCTCAGATCGACTCTCCGACGACCTATTGCGCTGCTGCACTCTATCAAATGTGCGGTTTAGGTGTCACCTAATATCCACAGCAGCGCATTGAGATATTGATTTATGCGGCCACGGAGGAAGCCCTTCTTTCATCTAGGCACCCATTATTTGTCCTCTCTCTCTTTTTTTTTTTTTTTTTTTTTTTTTTTTTTTCTCTCCTAAAACACCGTATACGACGTCCCCCCCTGGTCGCGCCCACGTGTGCGCTAGGCTACTCCATACATAGGCACACACATACAAACGAGGCGCAGCACAGCAGCGGCATAGCCATAACCATGTAGGCGGAGAGGTAAGTAAGTGAGGGGAAACCTCCGCTCCGACAGCGCCAGAATAACCGGCCCGTAACTCCAGGCTCCTAGACTAGACGACCCGCCGGGCGCGAAAAAAACAAACTTCCTACCGACCCAGTACTCCGACGCGCAAGGTCACGGTAAGCGCGCGCGAAGAATGGGGGAACGACGTGTTGTATGTACCCCGTCGTCATGGCACGCGGAGAGCCGCCCGGCGGTTCCGCTGCACGTCGCAGCTCTTGTTTGAGGTCTGGGGCTTTTGGCGGCGCGGCGGAGGTTTGTTGGGGCGCTTGGTTTGGTGTCTCAGACGGGGACATTTTGCTTGCGACGCCGATTCGTTCCAGACTGCCAGTTAAATCACCTGAGGGCGTGCTCATCCTGGAGTAGGTAACTACCTAGGTGCCCTGATGTTGATGTCCAGACCGCGGCTGTGTGCACCGTGGCTGCTGCTACCGCTGCCTAATCCGTACCTCCCTCCTAAGGAGCTGGCCCGTTGCTGGTATGTACCAGACTTGTTTGGTACATAGGCGACTGAGACAGCAGCCGCAGCACCATCTATCTACGGGCAAACAATACTCCTACATAGCAGCAGCTGAGCGGCCCGTCCTCCGTACGCCGTATCCGTGGAAGGGCATCAAGCAAACAGCACATACATACATACATACATAGGTACGAGTCGGAGCCCGAGGCCGAGGCCGAGGCCGGGTCAGTTTGGTACGGAGTACAGCTTGCAGCCAGCCAGCCAGCGACACACACCTCACACAGCAATGGCTCCCTCCCGCAGAGCCGTCGGCGCGCCTACACGGCCCCGCTAACTAACCCCACAAATATTGGCTATCCTGCCCTGCGAAATGCGGAATGCGAAATGCGGAATGCTGACGAGTAACCGACGGGGTGGCGCTTGGCGCGGCTCCTCTTGGACTACCGTACTCCGTACCTGGGCACATACAGAGGCGGGAATAAGCCGGGAATGCACGCACTGCCTGCCTACACGATACGATACGATGCGTACTTACCTATGTCTGTGTCTGTGTCTGTGTCTGTGTCTAATCAATCAATCAATCAACACCCCCTTCCCCCCACCCTATCAGCACCCTCCCACCCCATTAACACCCTCCGCATTCCGGCCTCCGGTCGGAGCCTGGGGGGTTCGACTTTCGACTTTCGGCGTTATTGCGCGATGCGGGGCTGACTAGGTAGGAGCGGAGAGGCGTTGGCGTTGGCGTTGGCGTTGGCGTTGCGGTGGTGGTTACTGTACCTACGGATTATTGGCTGTGGTTGGGGAGGCTGCTTGTTACTATTGTTTTGTTTGCTTGCGGAGTGAGTGGCTACAGGCTGGAAGGTATGTACATAGGAGGATGTAGATAACGAGATTGAACGAACGAGACGAGAGAATAGGCTTTAGTATACTATACCTCTACTCTACCCTACCATAATCCCAACCTCAACCTCAAGCCCACAAACCTACAAACCCATACTCCAACAGCCCAATCCCCCATCCGTAACACGCGTTCCGATCTACAAATATATAGATAGGCGAAGGGCACCTAGGTAGGTAGACAGGCAAAAACAGTCTTTATTCTTTATAGTTTAACTAGTTCTCCTATCAAGAATAAAACCCAGCGCTCAAACAATTAAACAAACAATCACACAGGCAGACACAAACCAAATCCACCATCAAAAAAAAGAAAAGAAAAAGGCCGTGTCATTCATTCATATCAATACCTATCCAAGCGATGGATTTACCTACTGCCTGGCAACCACCTATCCAAAACCCAACTCCAAGAAGTCCAAAATGTCCAAAAAGTCCAAGATCCTCCAATCCAATCCAAGCAATTTGTCCGCCCTAACCCACCATCCAAAAACCCCATCCCCCATCCAACATCGCCTCAGTCAATCAATCAATTTCGCTCAAATCCCTCCCACCACCCACCACCACCTAAGTATAGAACATAGCATCCCTCACGCGCTCATGAATCCGCACCTCGCCCTCATCAATCTCGCGCCCCCCAGCCTCACCGCTAACAACGCTGCCCTCCTGGCTCGCCCCCAGACTCGGATCAAACACGCCCGCGAGATAGAGGCGCGCGCGCTCGCAGACCAGGTCCGCGTAGTAGGCCGGGGGGCAGACGCTGACGGCCTTGGTCGCGCGGCCGAAGAGATAGCACAAGTTGTGCGTGAGCTGCTCGAGGGCGTCGGCGGCGGCGGCCCCGCGGGAAGTGAATATCTCGTCGTGCACGACGTAGTAGTGGGCCGGGCGGGCGGTGCCCTGCAGCGCCGTGTGCGCCTGCAGGAAGAAGTCCCAGTTGCGCTGCTCCGTGACGCCGCGGTCGACGACGGTGCCGTTGGGCGGGTTGCTGCTGCGGTCGGCGTCGGCCGTTGCCGAGGGGTAGAAGCGCGTGTGGTGGCGCTTGCCGACCACGACGATGCTGATGCGCGGGACGCCCTGCTTCTGCTGCGCGGCCGGGTAGAGGGCCTTGCACGCGGCGCGGATGGCGGGCAGTTCGTTGTCCAGGACGAGCTGGTACTGGCCCTCGCTGACGCCGTCGCGGTAGACGAGGATGTTCTGGGGATAGGCGCCGGTGTTGCGGGCGGCCCACAGCTTGAGGCGGCGCTGCATGAGCGCGTCCAGCTGGTCGATCATCTCGCGGCGGGCCGTCTGGATGCGCAGGTCGGCGGGCCACTGGCCAAACTGCTTGTCGACGGACGCGACGATGCCGACGACGCTGGGCGCGTTGCTCGCCGACCCGGGCGACGGGTGCGTCACGTCCATGCCGACGACCATGGTCTTGCCCTCGGCCAGCAGGCCCAGCTTCGCCGGCTCCAGCGTCTGGTTCGTCCCGCCCGCCTTGAGGTTCACCTTCAGCGCCACGTTGGCCATGTACTGGTCGTTGGCCTTGGCAAACTTTGCCCCGATGACGCACACGTTGAGGATGCCCTCCTTGACGTCGCACGCGTACTTGACACGGTTGCGGATGACGGCGTTGTTGGGCGGAATGATGACAAGGATGAGCTTAGGCCGGCTGGCAGGGTTTTTAGGGTTGACGATCTCGTGGATCTTCGTGTCGATGACCGCCTCCGCGTTGTCTGGGGTGACGTTGATGCGACTACCTGGGCTGCACATGTTGGCGTTCATGCCGAGTTCTCTGAGCTTCTCATGGAACTCGGTGAGCTTGGGTACGATCTGCTTCGGATCCGTCCAGAGATTCGCCGTGCCAGGCGTGGCGATCCAGAGCCAAGTCCACGATTGCAATTTCTCGGGCACAGAGAACCGCGTCTTATCCAACATGTTCCAGCTACCGGCTCGCGGGTTGACCGTCCTGTTGCCCGAGTACTTGATGCCCGGGCTGTTGAGCACGCGGCCCTGGACCGTCAGCAGCTTGGGAGTGATGCCGATGCCAAAGGCACTAAGGGTTGGGTTCGTTGGGTTCACGCCCAGCACCTGCGCGCCCGCAGAGACGATGGACTGGGCGTTCAGCGCCGGGTTGCGCACCGCGTTGCGGATCATCTGCTGCGTCTGGCTCGGGGTGAGCTTGGCGTTCGACGGCTGCCCCGGCACGACCTCGCAGACCTGCGCGGGCAGGTACGATGGGAACTGGCGGCTGCCGACGTTGACGACGGGCATCTTCGGGTCCCGGATGGTGATGTTGTACGTCTGCTTGAAGAAGTCGTAGACGCTGATGTATTTGCCCTGCGACGCAGGCTTCGCAGGCGCCGCGGCCTTCTTCCCCTTCTTGCCAGCGCCGCCCTGAGGCGGCGCATCCAGGTAGAACTGGACGTCCTTGGCGCCAGCCCCCATGGCCGGCACGATAGGCGGGTGCTCCAAGCCGCTGCCGTCGCCGCGCGAGGCCAAGTTGCAGATGGTCTTGACGCGGCGCACGCGCTGGCCAGCCTTGTTCTTCCGCACAATGTGCGTCACGTCAACCGACACCTTCTTGAGGAAGCTTGCCAGTCTGAACACGTTCGGTCCGTTTTCGCTTTTGTACGATTCGATGAGGCGCTCGAGCGGACCAGCCGAGTAGAAGGCCGCGTGCTTGACCTGTACGTTGACGAGGATGCGGGCCGCGGCGGCGCGCACGCTGACAAAGTATCCGCGGATGGCCTGCAGGCCGGCGCCCAGAGAGAAGGTCTCGGAGCCTGCGGCGGCGAAGTTGTAGTGCTTGTTCGCGCCGACAGAGGCGATGTTTGGATTGGCCTTCGGATGGTGGCCGACGACAATGTTGAGGGCCTGGATCATCTGCTCCTTGGATTCGAGGAGCACGTTGGCCTGGGTCGAGGTGAGATAGGACACCAGCTCCGAGACGGTCAGGGTGCCCGTCTGCTGCAGGCGAGCGCGGTACCTGGGGGCATTTTCGTCGGCCTCGTCATCGCCCTCTGCGCGGTACTGGACGGTGTAGCCGTTGGGGTTGAGTTCGAGCGGGTTCTTGCTGATGACGTTGGACTTGTAGTCGGTGGTGATGTCGCGGCCGTGGGCAGCGAAGTTCTCCTCGAGCAGAATCTCAATGACGCGCTTCTTCTTCTTGCCCTTGGGCTCGCGGTCGCCGGTGATGTCGATGTCGTAGCGGTAGAGCGGCAGGTCGCCTTTAGCGACCAGCTCCATGTAGTTGGTCCACAGCACGATGGCGCGACCCTGGGTACCGTAACCCGGGCGCAACGGCATCGACGCCGCCTTGGACTTGACCGCCTTCAGCGACGTTTCGGTCGCAGCTTCGATCTTGGCGACACGATCGTCTGGCGCGGGAACGGGGGCGCCGGGGGCATGGCTGCGAGACGCGAGAGCACGTGTTAGCGCGCGTGCGTGCGGATTCAGAGGGAAGGAACGAAACACACTCTCACCTGAAGACCATCGGCTCGCCACGACCCCGTCCCGCAAATCCGCCTCTCCCACCTCCTCCTCCTCTGCCGCCTCCTCTGAAGTCACCGCCGCCGCGTCCGCCTCTGTCGCCACCGCCGCGGCCAGCATACCCACCGCCACGCGGGTGCGAAGGCAGGTTGAAGTCTCCGCGTCCCCGGCCCCCACCGCCGCGCCCACGACCACGCTCGGACATGGCTACTACTGCTGCTGCTGCTGATGGATGATGATGATGATGATGATTGGCTCAAGGGTCGAAGGATTATTGATAACTAGGTAGGTGGAGAAAGGTTGCTGCTCTCTCTAGGCACCAGGCTGGCTCGCGGCGGCTTAAGAACCCCGCTCCCCCGGTCGCTGCGCGCGTCGTCCACTCGTCTTGTCGCATTAGTCGAAACGCGTCACAAGCAGATGGGACAAAGAACAACAACAAACAATTGGCTGCGGGACACGACTGCGACACACAAACATGTGACAAGCAATCCGATGCTTTGATCAATCACGTCCGCGTAGCTCGCCAGTTCACGATGCTTCGTTCCATCTGCAGTTTGAATTAACACGTCCTTGTTTGTTCATTATTTGAAATATCCATCGCTACAAGTCATTATTGTGATTATTAACAACGCTCCCCATCTCAGATTCATTAGCCACACATCTCCGCCCCTACGACTTCTGGTACCACCCGCTACCGGTGGCGTTCAGCTTGGCCGGCCCAACATACTTGGTCACGTAGTCCTCCCACTTTGCGGCCTTGGAGCCCTCGGCGTCAGGGAAGTTGACCTCGCAGCCAAGCGCCTTGTAGCCCGGCACGATGGTGCTGGAGAGGGTGTTGACGATCTTCTCGAGCAGGCTGACCGTGTTGTACAGCTCGGCGGGGAAGTTGGCGTAGATGGCGTTGTAGAGGAAGCAGGAGAGGCCCTGGGCCGAGGTGGGCAGGTCGAGCGGGCCGACGACCCAGCTGTCGTCGGCGCCGGAGCCGCCCAGCGCGGGGAGCGCGTACAGGTAGACGTCGAGGATGCCGCCGACGGCCTCGAGCACCGTCATGGGCGTGCTGCGGCGATACCAGCCGGCCTCCGGGATGCGCTCGGGCACGTGCGTGTAGTCGAGGTCGATGTCGTTCCACGCGTTGTCGCGCGCGGGCTTTGCGCCGTAAAAGGACGTGATGGAGGCCTCGTTGGCGACGCCGCCGGCGCCAATGGTGCCGTTGGAGAAGAAGCCCGGGATGAAGTAGTAGGCGCCCATGACGACGGCGGCGCTGGGCACGTTAAAGTAGAACTGCTTGTTAGCGGCCTTGCTGGCGGCGTAGCGGTTCTTGAAGTGCTCCTTGATGGCGTCGACGGAGTAGGTGCCGTTGCCCTTGGCGAGGGCCTGCTGGTGCAGCTGCTTGAAGAGCTCGGGCTTGAAGGAGATGTTGTCGCCGGCGAGGTAGAAGTCGTCGCGGGTGGCCGAGGCGTCGCCCTCGTTGAACTTGCCGTGGCCGGAGATGCCCGACGGCGTGCCCAGGAGGCTGTTGAGCGCGCCGTTGAGGACGCCGACGCGGTCGTCGGGCCCGCCAATGCTCATCTTCTGGGAGAGGACGTCGCCGCCGTCGAGGGCGCCGCCGATCGCTAGCAGCGACGACAGGTCGTCGCCCATGTTGAAGACGCGCGCGGTGGCGGCGTTGATCTGGCCGACGGTAGCGATGCCCGTGCGGGGAATGTCTGCGCAGAACAGTCAGCTTGGATGCTCGCTCGCAAGTAAAGTCAAAAGAAGAGAAGGGATGTGCGTCACGTACAGCCGTGGTTAGCGAGCGTGTTCAAGCCGGGGCAAGGGCCGCGCTGGTCGGTATCGCCAGGCGCCTGGAAGGGGTAGTCGTCTGACGCGCGCACAACAGTCAGCCACGGCACTCAGGCATTTGCACAGAACAGACACGAACGCCATACCTTCCGGGAAGCGCGTCAGGCCATCGACAGCCTTATCCGTCGGGATGAGGCCGAGGAGGTTATCGACGACGGCCTCGACAGACCCACCAAGCAGCGAGACGACGCCGCCGAGCAGGCCGGTGCCGAGCTGGCGCGGCTCGTGGCGCTTCTTCAGCTCGCTGGCCGCGTCGTCGCGGTGGTGCGCCTTCAGCTTCTGGTCGATGGCGGCGCGTGCCTCGGGGTGCTTGAGCAGCGCCTCCATTCCCTCGGGAGTCATCCAGGGGAAGGCGAGGGCGGAGGGCGCGCAGACGGCCGCGAGGAGGAGCGAGGAGCGCATCGTTGCTGTGGGCGAGGCTGGAGAGAGGGTGACCGAGAGAGAGAGGTCGAGAGCGAAGGCGGCGAGGAGGAGGAGGAGGAGGAGGAGGTGGTGGTGGTGGTGGTGGTGACTCTTGCTCAACTGGAGGCAGGAGTTGGTTCAGCTACGGAATGCCAGCGCCCGCCCGTTTTATACATCCTGAGAGTCTGCTCCCCCCTCTCTGCCCTCCCCCCTCGTCTGGTTTGGTCGTCAACAGCAAGGCAAAAGGCAAGATCACGATTCGGGCTGACGTAGGCGGAGGGCCGTGGTCGAGCGTGGCTGCGCGCACAGGTCCCCGGCGAAGGGGGCGTCTTGTACGGTCGTGGCATTCTCAGGACGGCTATTGGCTGGGCCGCGGGCAGGGCGAGGCAGTGCGAGGCAGCGTAGGTAGCTAAGAGAGGGCTTCTTAGCCGCATTGGGGACATGGCCGGGCGCAGAGTCGCAATTCCCGTTCTTGGAAAAAAGCGGAATGTGGCGCTGCGCAGGGAGCACGCGCGGTGGCGATCGGTATAATGGCTGAGGAGCTGAGTAGTGGGCGCGGTTATTGGTGTGGGAGCGGGCGCCGTGCCTGGAGGAGAGAGTAGGTACGTAGGTAGCTGCACTGGTGCGTGTGTGTGCGTGACTGGATGGATGGGTGGTGGTGGTTATACAGCAGAGGCTGGAGAGCATACCTACCTACCGTACCCAGCGCAGCGGGCTCTCGACTCGACTCGCACCGTTCAGGAAAGGCGACGGAGGACGGGCTGCCTGAAACTGCAGGTCCGTCTCCGAAATCGACGGACGTCACGGCCTCGGCAATCTCGATCTGCCTCGTGTCACAGATCAGCATCGGAGATGCGTGTCCTGGGTAATGGTGGTGTTGCTGCATTCCAAATGCCAGCCAGGGCCGACGATGCTTTTTTTTTTGTTAGAACCCGCCGCCCATCTCAGCCAGCCGCAAGCGAAGGAACCGGCGCCAGGCCGGTGAACCTTTTCTTCCTTCGCGCACACACACACGCTGATCCCCAAACATACATCGCTCTAAGCGACATTGCCCGCGCCGCCATTGGCCAGTGTCTCTCTCTTGACTCTTCACGCCCACACACCTTGACGCCTTCGCAGGTTCGTTCAGCACACCTAGCAATGACCAAGGCGTCGGCGGGATATTCTTTCCAGGCCTAGCGCTACGTAGCCTCTGATGGCGGATCCGTGCGCCCCTCGTCGTCGGACGTTTTGCCCGCCGCGGCCTGTGGCTAGGTGCCTTCCGCTCGGTTGGATCATCTGGCTCCCGCCAACCGCCTACCGCCAGCCAGCCAGCCAGCCAGCCAGCGCGTCAAGGCGTCGGCTACGCGGCTGGCTGGCTGCAACAACGCCCCAACAACGCGCGTGCCGAGGCTCGTGGGAGATGACGTCAAGGCGCTGTCTAGACCGCTGGCGCCGAGTCGCGCGCGAATGCCTCGGTACGTACGTCTGGTACATCTGGTATGGTACAGGGTGCAGAGAGAGTACTGAGTAGGCACGCCATCGCGGTGGGAACAGAGCAGCTGTGGAGTACCACGTACGAACGAAATGTCGTTGCTGCAAACAGGCACTGGGTTTCGTGCGCGGGGCGGCAACGAGTTACATGCGACTCAGACGGGAAGGGAAGACCCAGACACCGTACACGCGCGGATGTCGCATTTCCCCTCCACATTCCGATGCGCCTACACCCTTTCCTTCCTCCCTGTGCTCGTACGCTCGCACGGATTGATTTCCTTTTCCTGGGTTGTAGTGGTGGTGGTGGTGGCAGCTGTCACCCTCCCATTGATGGCATGGCGCCACCGCCTTGTGCGACCGACCGACCGACCGCCTCGCGCACGCCGGAGCGTCATCTCTCCTTCTTTTGCGGCAGAGCCTTTGGCGCAGCATCAGCTGGAAGGAGCAATGTGTCGAGCTGGACTTGAGAAAATGGCTTGCACCTGTGGTGGGAGCGGACGATATTGCTGACTGAGCATACAAGCAAGCAAGCAAGCAAGCAAGCAAGCATGAGTTAGGTACGTGCAAAACACGGAGAACCAGTGTCGTCAAATTCCCCGCCGGATTAGATTACTATCAAATTACATGTCCAATTTTTATGTTGCCCGTATCCTCATCATCATCCTAGGGCTTCTCTTCGGGGAAATAAAGCTTTCCGCCTTGTTCGGCCACGACGTCCGCAACCTGGTAAATGGTGTCGAAGACATCGGAAACGGGAACGGGCAGCTCGTAGTCCGATCCGCAAATGTAGTCGACGTTGAGATACTTGGTGAATTCTTTGAGCACCGGCACCTTGTCCGCAGCACTTTTCGCGGATTCGATCTTGTCGACGTACTTGGCCAACTTGACCAGCATTTCTGTGTTGTTTGTCAGCACTCATCCACAGTCTCGGTAGGCTTTCTGCTTTGACGTACTCAGAGTGCCGTGGAGCTCCTCGGGAGCGCCCTCGGTAAAGAAGTTGACGCCCTCTTGAAGCACAAACTTGAGCGATTCCGCCAATATACCACAGCCGTACTAGCGCCTATTGTCAGTATCTACGTCGCTGAGGGTGCTTTGAGGTTAACTTACGTTGGCTACAATGGTCGCTGCCGTTGTGACAATTTCTACCAGCGTGTCCATTGAGCACGAGCAATCGCCGGGAGCGGTCTGGACACCAGGATATCCAGGGAGATCGGTATAATCCGCCGTCACTTGCTTTCCGCACGTAAAGGTATGCTTTTCAGTCGCCGGAACGGGAACGCCCATTTGCTTATAGCAAAATTCCTTGCAAGAACTCAAACCCTCAAAACCCTTTGGCGGAGTCTGGGGCAGGAACATGACACAGTCGCTATTCAGTCCATCTCCAGAAGGGGCCTTGGTAGTCTCCTGAGTACTGGGCGCAGTAGTAGTAGTAGTAGTATGGGCAACGCCAGTGCTGGTGTGGGCCGGGTCTGGGTCCTTCTCGTCGGACTCGGCGGGCCAAGGGGTGCAGGTCGAACCGGCATCGCCCTCCTCGACGCTGACGACGTGGTAGTTGCGGCTGTAGATGCCGCGGGGGCAGGAGGCGGCGACGCACATGCCGCCGGAGCCCGAGGCGACGCGCTTGCCGGAGGGGTCGAGGATCTCGAGGAACTGGGCGCCCTTGTTGAGGACCTCTGCGCTGCCGTAGTTGAGGCCGGCCTTGAGCGAGTAGACGGCGGGCGTCGTGGTGCTGCCGCTGTACACCTTGAGCGTGTAGCCCGAGGGCAGGCCGGCCTTCATGACGACGGCGAAGTAGACGCCCTCGACGCCGGCGTCCAGGTTGGTCGGCTTCTCCGAGTACTGGCCCCACGGGCCGGTGCACTCGGTCTTGCGCGGGAAGCTCTGGTACCACATGGAGCCGACGACGAGCTTGCTGCCGGGCGGCGTCATGCTGGCGGCCGTGGAGCCGGCCGTCTTGAAGGCGCGGTTGAACGACTCGACCAGCGGCTGCCAGCCCTTGTGGCTGTAGCGGTCCGGGTTCATGTACCTCCAGGGCTGCGCGTCCGAGTTCTGCTCATTCCAGATGTTGCCGATGTAGTGGCTCTCGGGCCCGTCGTTCCACGTCTGGAACTGCACGTAGTTGGGCCGCGGGCTCATGGCCAGGATGTTCTCCATGCGCACCGGCAGGTTCATGTCGCCCAGACGGTACAGGTTCGTCTTGTACGCGTCCTTGTACTGCAGCGGGCTGATGGGGATCATGTACTCCTTGCTGTGCGCCGCCGCGGCGTTGGCCTGCGGCGTGTCGATGCCCACGTCGCCGGGGTAGGCGCCGCCAAAGTTGCCGTACTTGGGCCACGAGCTCTCCCAGCTGGCAATGCCGTCGATGACGGTGCCCCAGTGGTCCCACCAAGGCTCGGCAGCTTCGTAGTAGCCTTCGGTTCCGTCAAGGTCGGGGAAGAAGTAGAAGTCACCCCACTTCTTCTTCAACGCCGTGAACTCCACCGCAGACCACCGGGCCGCCGAATACGCTTTACAGGGGCGTTAGTATATCAGAACCTCGCCATCATTCCGAGGGTGCTTGCTTACTGCCGACGACGTTCTTCCCGTCGATCTTGTACCAGCCATCCGAGCTCTTGTACTTGTTCCAGAGATCGTAGTAGTCATTGCCGACACCGCAGCACGTGGCGCCGTTGTAGCATGCGTCGCCCGAAGCGTACAGGTCCATGTTCAGGTAGACCTTCATGCCGTTCGCAGCCGCGTTGTTGAACATGAAGCCCAGCGACTTGTCCACCCAGGTCTCGGACACACAGCCAGTGTTCAAGGCAAAGGCATCGAAGCTGCGGCGGGAAAAGGTTAGGAGAGTCGGCACATGAGCGTGGATGGGAACCAATTGACATACCCCACGGCCTTGGCGTCTTTCAAATCCTGGATCACATGGGCCTCGTTGACATTTCCGAGCTGCAGACATGGTCAGTCATCATCCATTGCGTACCTGGAGAGCGAACAACTTACCATGTAATGGGCAACCGCAGCCTTGGACGCAACGCCCATGACCAGCGACAAGCCGCTGGCCAGGACCATCAACCCATGAGTAGTTGACATTTTTGATGTTGTCCTTCGATGAGCTCGATGCTTAGGGAAGTGATGAGCAGCTCTTCCAACCGGGCCCTCGTCCTTTTAAACCCATCTCGCAGCGAGCGCGGCGCTCAAGTCCGCAGAGGTCGGACCAGACGTCTGTACGCACAGCTCTTTTCCATGCCCATCACCTGAGGGCGAAGTCTGGCTGTCGGGCTCTCCGACCAGCCGCTAGGTAGGAAGCGTAGCTCAGGCACCAGAAGGATTCTGCACCACCCGCTCAAGCCCGCCCGGTATCGTGAAGCTTCTTCGGCAGAGGGTTAGCTGTCTCGTATAGCCTGCCCCACACGGTACCGTGCCCCAGCCCGCCCAATCAGACGCCCGCTGGCGCTACGCCAGACGCTTCGGCCGAAACGGCACGTGGTGTACCATTTTCCTTTTTGGGGATAGAGAAGAAAATTGTTGCGCGCAGCTATAGCCTATGTGTTTGATGGCGGGCGTTGGAGTTGCGAAATTGAAATTGTGTGGTGAAATGGCAGGACCAGCTCACCACCACCAGCGTCCGGCACCAGGGCCTTTGGCGCATCCTTCGGTAGTGGGAGGAAGGCGCCGAATGATGATGGCGGTGGTGGCAACGGCGGCGACGCCCTATACTACGACGCCAGTTGCCACCACCTCCAGAATGTCTCAACCGTTCCGTCCCGTCGCCGCTGTACCTGCAGCCGCTAGCGCCACGTCTTAATTCCTCCCACCCTCATAACACCCCACTTTTCCCTCGCTTCTCTCGCCTCCGCAAGCCCGCGCTCCTCCGGTCCGCGGAGCAGACATGCAGAAAACCCGCCCATCATGCTATTTCCCGCCTGCTCGCAGCGCCGCTTAGCGACCTGCCAAGACGAGCGGTCTGGTCTGGATGGCCAGTGGTTGGCTGTCGGGTCATTCTCGACCGGTGGGAGTGCGCCACGGCCGACGGGCTTTGTTGGTCTGATGGCAGCGGCGGCAGCACACCGATGGCTGGGCACTACTGCGAGGGCTACATATTGTAGGAGGTTACCTCCTACCTACCTACTGTAGGTAGTTGGAGTCGGGCAGACGCTATGGTGTTGGAGCTTTAGTTGAGCGAATTAAGCTGGGGGCTAATAAGCTTCGTTACGCTTATCTGCGTTCCTGTGGGGCTTAGGGGCGTCCGCACAGTCCTGCCGTTTAACGCGACCTTTGCATTTTCAAAAGACGAGATACATAGGTAGACGATTATGGTCAAAGACTCACAATCTCTCCAGAGCGCATGCACACCACACCCCCGACAGCATTCTCGCGAACCCCTTTCGCCTTGCCCCGTCTCGAGTCGTCAAGCATGCAAGGCTCCGAATGAAGATCGAATCCTTCGCCAAGCCTTCGAGATCACAGCCAAGCGATCCGGACTGTGCCGCCCGGCCCGCCTGACCTGACGGGCGGCCCGACTCCTGGGCGGATTTATCCTTCTGCCTCCGCCCTCCGCTACTCGTGGGGTGCTTTTTCAATTTCGGGGCATCTGCTTCCGCTGTGTGTGTGGTTACATTGTGGTGTGCCTTTTCTCTGGCCTCGTTGATGGATTGCCCTGCCCGGCTCCCGCTGGCATCCGCAGAGTGTAGAATCTCTCTCGTTTCTCCTTGTGCTTTGGATGCCCTCTTCTCCCTC